ATGTGCTCACCAGGCTCTCAAGCCCGACCCACTCAGTTTTATGCATTACAGGTAGTGGCGCATGAGCATAGGTGTGATGTTTTGGACGGGGGATTACGGATATAGGCCTGTAGATATGAAATAATGTAGTAAGGCTTATATTGTACTGTTTATACTTTTGATCTGTACGAACATGACATCCCGAGTCTTTTAATGAAATACATTTCTATGGAAATGCTTTTGATAAATCTTTATCATATTATTGTTTTGGGACAAATTCCGCAACCTTTTTATTAAAAGATAACTCTGATTTTGAAATAAAGTATAAACAAAACCGGTCTTTTCTGGCCGTGATTTTGGGGATGTCACACGGTACCACTCCCGCTTCAACGGGTTGGTTGATTGGTTTCACTAACCCACTTCATCATCTCTCTCTACTTTCCCTTTCTAATTTTCTCTTGTACCATGTGTTTTAAAACTTGTACCTTAGTTGTTTTGTATTTTTTATTAATTGAGTTGGTTGAGAAATATAGGATTTCTGTGTGTTGTGAGTTGAGAAAGATGAAGACAAAGAAAAGACAAAATTTGATGTGACAGTGGGTTTAGTGGGTTGGGAGGGAACAACTCCATCCTCTCTTACAGGAAACTGTGGTGGGATTTGACGATGGACAATTTGACCTTTTGATTCTATAAAGTACTTAGATTTAGAAACAAAACTTCGGACAGTAACTGCTGCTCCTAAATCGTTGCTTGTGGGTCTCACTCTTCTTCCCGGAGCTGCTGCTAAACCGCTGCTTGTAGGGCAATTGTTTTGTATTACTCAATCATACTCCTGTTACTCTACTTACCTTTAACCTCTCAACTCTACCATCATCATTGCTCTTAATAGTTTGCACCCATTTACAACAACAAAGTTTTTACCATTTCAGAGATCAGTATTCATCTCTTTTAGAACTGCAAATTTCCAGTTTTCCATCGGTCAAAAGGACTTCCTTAATCTTTATAGGCACAATCAAATGTATCTTAAGATAAAAAAAAACTAACAGACCTACAATGGTATGTCAGAGATAGAGTTACATTCTCAACAAAGATAATTCTGACTTCTACATCTTACTTTGTTTAGATATACAATTAAAGATCATATGTATGCCTCTCGTTTTCCCATGACCTAACATGTTATACATATTAGGCCATCATTTTAGCTAAAATAGGAACCGGTCCAATTGCTTTTAGTATTTTGGTTTTATTATTTAACCTTTTCAATAATCGAGATGATGGTGATTGGTGACATTATGCTAAGGTAAGGTAACTTTTTATGGGATATTATAGTTAGTTTTAGTCCAGTTATCAAGCCTTTTTTTTTCATCGCATAAAACCAGTTATAGTTCATTATTTGTTGTATTTTGTGCATTACTTACAGTTTTTTTTTTTTTTTTTTTCTGTCGAACTTGTGTCATGAGTACACTGCATATTGGAATTCGATTTCTCTAAAAAAATATTAAACGGGCTAAGTGATCAGAGAAGGTTAGCGCCTATTTGTATGTGTGTATTTGTATATTTCTCCCCTGTTTACAACTATTGTATCTTATGTGGTATTTTTCTTCCTTTTTCAAGTGTTGGAATGGCCAAGACAAAAAGTGTGAAGAGAAACCAAAACCTTGATGGCAATGAAATGATGCATCATTATCATCTAGCAAGAAGAGGATCATCAAGACTTGTATTGGTATCTAAATGACTTTAAAGCAAAAAAGTTTAAAACCATAATTCTCAATTCCACTGGTAGGATCTGTTTTGGATCGACTTGTGCCTGATCTTGTTTAGTAAGGAAACCCACGACTTCAGGCTTGTGCATCTTATCACAAGGCATGAACTTAAATTTCATTCTGATTGCTTATTCTCAAAAAATTTGAAGTTATGCATACTTCTAATAACGAATTGAATATTCAATTAACAAATAAAAACACAAACTTTACCTGATAATGTAGCTATTGGAACAACAAATTGGCGAGAAGAAGGGTATAAAAAATGCAGTGATAATGTAGTCGTCAATTGCAACACCAATTTGGCAAGAATACGGCAGAAAAAAGTCGCACCAAGGTTATGTTGATCGTCCAGCTGCTAGTTGCAGGAATAAGGTATTCTTTTGATTTACCAGCCAAGGGGTATTATGGTCCGATTAGTGATTTTTATTATTTTTAATGATTTTAAACTACAAAAAGAGATTATTAAATAATAAAAACTGTTTAAAGAATAGATTTGGGCAAATCCGATATTTTAAAACATTAAAAAGGTCAAATATGATATTTAAAATTTAATACGATATTTAGTCGTTTAACAAGGTATATACGAAATTCTCCCTTTAAATTATTACAAAGCTTTTCGCATCAATTTAAGAAGCCATAGCAGTTTTCCACATACAAAAACACAAAGCAAGCCAAACCCTAAAATGGATCACTTTTCACCATTATGATTCCGAGGCAAACTTGATGGAGATACTATTAACACAATGTCTTTCATCTGTAGGTGTCTTGAATCCCTCACCTTTAAACACATGACCTAAATGCCCTCCACAAGCTGTACAAGTAATTTCAATCCTCCTCCCATCTGGGTCTGGCTGAAAAATTAACAAATTTTAAAACTTTTTAAAAAAGACTGATACTAGTGTCAATGAGACAAAAATTCAAAACTTTTTAAAGAGTAAAGAGTCAGTCTCACAGTGCGGGTGATTGCTCCAGGGAGACCCTCATAGAAAGCAGGCCAACCACAACCAGAGTTGAATTTGGTGGTTGATTTATAGAGGGGTGTTCCACAACCAGCACATGTGTATGTCCCATCAACAAAAAATTTATCATATTCACCTGTGCCTTTTGGCCTGTAAATAAAACCCAAAATTTCAAGAAAATTACTATGTTGTCTCTTTCAATCATCATATCCTAGACTCTAGAGGGTGTTGTTTCTATTTTACTTAATAGACTTAACTATTAAGCTACAGATGGGTGTTTCTTTTCGACTTAAACTCTGGCAAAGAACAAGGCCTAAAGACTTTTGGAGTGCAAAGGCAATCAAAGCTATATAAGATATATTTCCAAGATCATTTAAGATCAATAAGAAGGGTAGTCAAGATTGCAATACATGTTTAACCAACAAATGTAAGACTTGAACTATCTTATGCATCCATTTCAAAGTTTGAGATACAAACAATCAGCTCAATCCAAAAACTGACATAAGTTTACTGTTATTTTGAAAAGTATGTATATGCAGCTCTAATTTCCAAATCTGCTGATCACCATAAGCAATTGAGAAGCCCTAGATTGAATTTTGGAATCGATTCGACCATTTCTCAGAAATGCAACTGATAAAATCATACAAAATTATCTGCTAAATGCAACTAAGGTTATGGAGATTGTAGAATGTATGAAGTAGAGAAGCCCCAAATTAGAATTTTGGAGTCAAGTTGATGATCTTTCGTAATCAGTAATCAAAGGCGAGAAAATTAATCAAAACCGTTTGCTAAGAATGCAATAATGTTAAGTCGACTGTGGAGTGTAGACATGTTACTAAAATGCAACCAAATTCTTGTTAAATTTAAGTGCAATACTTTAAATGATCGGTTCTCCTACAGAATTTGATAAAGCATTATTGCTGATTAGGGATCTGAACATCTAATATAGAAAGGATTCAATGGATCAAGTAGTACACTTACTCGGTTCCTTTGTTGCGAAGGATGCGGAACTGTTCAGGGGAGAGAACTGCACGCCATTCCTCCTCTGATTTCACAATAGAACCCATTGAAATCTTATTCAGAGCCGAGAACCCTAGTTTTAGTGATATTTGGGGATTTGGTTATCTTGTTGGGGATCAGAAGGATGTATCACAAATCAATAAATAAAACATATGAACGTATCCCTATTTGGTATCCGAAGATGAACCTGGCCCTAGAGATGGTTTCAGGGAGGGTTTGAGTCCAAATTTGACTTTTGCTTCTCTTTTTAGTTTTTACAAAATTTTATTTCAACTATAACATACAAACTTTATTTATTACATTTTTATATGAACAAAATAAAATTGAGACATTTTGATAAATAGAAGTTGCTTCTAGCAGTATTTCATGACAAATAACCATAAAATGTTGGGTCATGTTAAGACACAAAATCATAAAATCTAACCACTGATTTATAAAATAACATGAATAAAATGTTTGATAACTCTATTGTTTTTCTTCTAATTTAATGATTTTAATAACCGTTTTGAATGAGTAAACATATCATCTCAAAATTATAGTATATAATAGGACTAAAGATGTCAAAATTTGAGATAGTTATATAAGAGGTGAAGATTTATAAATTCTTAGTGTTTGCTGGCTTGATTCTTATATAGTTTTTGGCCTTCTTTTAAGTTATAAATAGTTAATATGTTAAAGGATAAGGCCTGAATGTAGTCTAGAGTATTGAATGTGTCAATACATTAGCAAGACATATCTTTTACGTGTATTACTAAATAAGTCATCAGGAGGAGACGGTTAAAACCTAATTATAGATAGAACTGGTAAAACCTGACATGACTTACAAATCCAAGACGAAATAAATGTGTTTTGATGAAAGATTTCAACTTGTTTAAGTAAACAAATTATCATGACATGCCACAAAAATCAAATATATAAGTTTATGGTCAAACTCTTTTAATCCGTTTAGTGTCTGAACATCATACCACACGATACATTTACAACGTCTGACAACATGATGCATTTAAAATGTCTAAAACTTAAACCTAAATCCGCTAACTTAGAAAAACATACACAAAATAAATGAATTCAAGTAAAAAAATTTCAACAAGTTTAAGTAATCCAATTGACACGAAATTATATATCTAATGTTATAGTCGATCTTTCAACTTTGTTTATTATTTTAACCCAAGCTTTACACGAAATAGACTCTTTCAAATCATTCTAATTTTATTCTTGTTTGTTTAAGTAAGAGATTTCAACTTACAATTCTTTTTAATTTTATTTTCTGTCCTTTTCTCTTAACTTCAAAAACACGCTTAAAGTATATTAACGTGGATCATGAGCTCGTGGCCTCAACGCGATCGTGTTTAACAAGAGGCACGCAGCCTTTCAATACAAACGACCAATTTTCTAAACAAGCATTTCTTCGAACAACTGCGGGGCGAGAAAACAAAATCGAACATCACCAGCTTTATCGAGTCCCTATCGTTCCGTTCAAATTCAACCGATTTGCGCTTAAATCTTCTTCAATTCGCAAAGCCCTCTGATGTTTCTCTGAAGGTAATTTAAGGAGAATAATCCAATTATGCAGTCGTCGAGGTCGTTGATTCAGCGGGTGGCACCAATTTTCGCAGCTCGAATTCGACATAACTCGAAACTTCTTAGCTCGACGTCGTCCTCAGTTCTCGCTAAAGAGCCCCAATCGTCTTCTCCATCTCCCACCGTACAAGATTCGGTTTACTTGTCTGATAATTGCGTCCGGGTACTTTCTTTATCCTCTTTGTTTGTTTATATTGATCTGTAGGAACTTTACATATCAACGATTTATTCATGCTATTAATTTTTCTGAAACATGGTAGTGATTGTCTAAAATATTGAAAAATTCTATAATCGAGATGCAACCCAATTAGAACGCAGAAAATTTATTTGCTTCGCTGGATGACCAGGAAATCAGATATAACCTAGTAAGGAACTATCTTGTTTGGATAAATAGTTAGTTTTTGTGAGGTCGAGTTTGTTATCTGCTTGCTGGTGGGAATCCCAAATTTGAAGTTCAAGTTTCAATTTTAAAGTAGAAAAATTGTTATTGTTGTCAAATTGAATGTGGTAATCTAGTTTTCATCCACAACCTAAAGAATTCGTATTGATTTTAAAGATGAGAGAGGAAGACTATCTTCTCAATCCAAGACTTGGAAACTTATATCACGTTTCTGGAAAGATTATGGATTTGTTAAAGTGATTAGAAATTAAAAATAAGGAAGGAATCCAGTGTTGGGACAAAAGAAGAATTCTACATTCAGTTTGAATTTGAAATACTTATGCCTAGTTTGAGTTTTGAGTGAAAAAGAGATGTATGAATGTTGTAAACATGTTTCATAAAGTTTTGATTGGATTATTTCATGCTGTTTTAAACCATGCAGAGGATGAAAGAGTTGCAGGCTGATGAAGCTAAGGAGAAACTGCTTCGATTAAGCATAGAAGCAGGTGGTTGTTCTGGTTTTCAATACAACTTTGCTCTCGAAGAGAAACCCAACAATGATGACAGGTTTGCTTGCTAAATAATCATGATTTATCTATAAACTTATGTATGTTTTATATCTATTTATTTTGAACTTCTATAGGATATTTGAGAGGGATGGTGTTAAATTGGTGGTTGACACAATATCATTAGGGTTTGTAAAAGGTGCAACCGTTGATTATGTTGAAGAGCTCATCCGTTCTGGTTTTCAGGTAACTTCATTTCTTTATCATACATACTACTTTCATTTCTTCCTATTACAATATTGTACATTAAAAAAAAAAAATCCACAAATTATATTAGTAATCTAGCTACAAAATGACATTAGGATTTTGTAAGAAGCTTGTTTCTAATTTTCATGTGCAGGTAGCTGAAAATCCAAGTGCTGTTGGTGGTTGTAGCTGTAAAAGTTCATTCATGGTAAAATAGTTTATGGGAAACAAAATGACCTACCCAAACTTACTTCTCTTCTGTCTGTATACATACAGATTCATTCAACACAGACACCACAACACAACCAATAGGACTTACTTATTGGTCACACTTTTGATGTAATACTGTTTATGGAATACTGTTATTTGTAAGCTCATTCTATTTACACTTTTTAGCAGCGCCTTAGTGTTTAACACTTGCATTCTTTGTATCTCCAAATTTCGATATGGGGAACATGAATAAATTGCTTCTTATTCTAGTATAACACATATTATCTCTATGTTTTTCTAATCAATATGGCACTTGACAAAATCTGTAAATTTCTAGCGTTTTGTTAGTTGGTGGGTATTAGACCTCAAACAAATATTGATTTGAAAACGCTTAGGATGAGGGTTTTAAGCCCGCATGTTGTGGCGGGAGTTTAAGCAATACTTTTGCGAATACTGACTATGTTGGAGAGGGAGGGAGGGTCCCGAAAACAGAAATAACAATGTACTTTATGTTTTTGTCAGGCATGGGACAAATCATATACACAGAGTCACATGCAAACACACAACCACAAACACATGTGTAGTTATTGTATAGCAAATCTAAATTAGAATATGTAAAAGTACAGTTGTAAAGAAGGATGTAAAAGAAGTTGAAAAATTATTTATCAAAATAAAGTAAGTTTCAAAAAAAGCACATAAAAATAAAACATAAAAAAATTTATAAAGAAAATTTGGACCAAATCTGAGAAAATAAATAAATAAATAAAACAAGGCAATTTTTTTTTTTTTTTTGAAAGTTGGTCGGCACTCTCATAGACTCATGGGTCCAATTTAGATTTAGATAAAATCGAATTGTGAATTTTAACTATTTGGCTTGAATATTTAGATTTTTAGAGATAAAACAGAATAATTATTTGGATTTTTGATGATTTTAGTTTATAAAATAATAACCGAATAGTTCAAAAAACCCGAATAACAATTGTTTATTGGCATTTTTATTTTTATTTTTAATCTATATCTTGAATAATTTATTAATTTACTAATTTATTTTTTAAATAGATTAGAAAATCTCACCCAATAAAAAACCATAATATGTATTTCTTCTTGAAAGTTTTAACTTAAAACATTAAATTATAAAATAGTTTTATTAGTGGTTATTTACAGATTTTAACTTACAATAAACATTTTTATTTGTGTTTATTTTATTTAATTAGCTAATTTAAATTATATATATTTTTTTAAAATGAGGTTCTTTTGAAAATTAAATTGTAAATGTTGTACCATCGAATAGTAATTCGGTTGATTCAGATAGGATTTTGAATTTAGTCTAGACTTTTTAAAAATCAAAATCAATTCGGATGCACTTAATTTGATAAAACTAATCCATTCAAAAAACATTTCTAGATAGAGATACCAAAATTGTTATTCAACTTCAAAATAAGGAATAATCTTCAATATAATTTTTTTAAGACTAACTTTGTAAAATTAACTATATGCTTATGGATATATTTTTTTTGTGAAATATCTTATATAAGCATATTAGTCATATATTGAATTTTAAGATGTATATGTTACAAAACTTTTTGTATAAATCAATTATACGTAAATATCATTAATACTTGTCATAAGTTTGAAGAATTGATGAAGATTATTAATAAATTTAATTAGGAGCAAACTGATAATTTTAAAATATTAAATTAATGTATATAAATTAATTTAAATTTCATAAACTAACACCGATATTAATTAATTTATGTTAAATGTATGAATATGCAATATATGCATAAGGTCTAAACACAAATATTTTATTTAAAAGTGATAATTTTTTTACATAATAACTAATAATTATTTCACCGTAATAAAACAATTCGTCAAAAAAGCTATTTATCATCGCCGCTTTGCACGGGCACACATCAAGTATCTAATACCAGACATTCTGCATATAAAATAGTTATAATAACAAAGTTGTTTTACTAAAAGATCGAAAGTGCTGAGTAAATTTCTACGATTAATTTATGTTAAATCTATGTTTGACAAAACTAATCTTAAAAAATAAAAATTAGTTGCTAGTAGTTGAAAACTTTTATTTATACGTAAATAAATATTTGATAAAAGTAACCGAGATTTAAATACATAAAATTATATAACAATCAAAAAGTTTTCAAAAACTATGTAAAATAACTTTGAAGTTTAAAATTATTTTAGAGAAAAAAACATAAAAATAAAAAATAAAACACCCCAAAAAGTCTATTACCTAATAGGGCCTAAAACTAACTCGTGATTCCAAATTGTCACGAGAATTGCTTATTTTGAGTCAAACTACTTTTTAATTTTCTTCGTGGAAAGGGGAAAGATAAGCAAAGATTTGAAACTGTGTGCCGATTTGGAATATCGGAAAAGACACGAGGCCGCCACACGCTCCCTGTCAAGACTCGACAGTTCCGGCGCACACCAAAGCCACCGGCCAACGCTCTCCGGATCATATCTCCAACTTCAATCGTCAACCGTCGAACACCGGTTTCGACTCTACGATTGCCATGACCTTACTTGAAGACGAGAGCTTAAAACTTACCGAAGTTCAAAGGCTTGAAGGTCATACTGATAGGGTATGGGGTCTAGCTTGGAATCCGGCTACTGGAGCCGACGGTGTACCTGCTGTCCTCGCTTCTTGTAGCGGGGATAAGACTATTCGAATCTGGCAACAACGGAGCCCTTCCTCTGCTTCCTTCGATTGCAAGGTTCGATTGAAAATTTTCAAATCTGAACAAAATTAGGGCTTCAACTTAAGATACAAAAAGTTTCAATGGGTGATGTTTGATCTTTGTTTAGGCAGTATTAGAAGACACGCATAGTCGAACAGTCAGATCATGTGCTTGGTCGCCATCTGGTAAACAGTTAGTAACTGCAAGTTTTGATGCCACTACCGCTATTTGGGAACAGAATGGAAGTGACTTTGAATGTGTATCCACTTTAGAGGTACTACTCAGTACTCACCTCATCATTCTAATGCTGTTCTATGTTACTTATCAACCAAATGTTTATCTTATATATGAGAATGAGTATCGTATAGGGGCATGAAAATGAAGTGAAAAGCGTGTCATGGAATGCATCTGGTTCTCTTGTTGCAACTTGTAGTCGAGACAAATCTGTTTGGATTTGGGAAGTTTTACCAGGAAATGAATATGACTGTGTCTCTGTTCTTCAAGGACACACACAAGATGTTAAAATGGTTCAGTGGCATCCAACTGTTGATGCTTTATTCTCTTGTAGCTACGATAACACCATTAAGGTAACATTATTTAATTCCATTCAAAACTTTCAAAACAAATTCACATGATATTCTATTATGTTTTTATTTTCAGGTTTGGGCAGATGATAGTGATAGTGATGATTGGCATTGTGTGCAAACTTTAGGCGAATCAAACAGGTAGGTAACATAACACTCTTTCTGTTAACATTTTGTTGAATGCTGGAATTTAATGAATTAATTATAATGATTTTCAGTGGACACTCATCTACAGTATGGGCGTTATCTTTTAACAGCACTGGGGATAAAATGGTCACATGCAGGTATAGTAATAGTATTTAATTGCTAAGTTAAAATAATTTAAAAATAATTTTGGTGAAATTTGCAGTGATGATCTGACCATTAAGGTGTGGGACGTGGATATTATAAGTTTGCAATCTGGCGATGGCAATGCATCTTGGTAAGAATAAGATAAGATGATTTCTTTTTCCTTTTTTTTTTTTTTAAATGATTTCCTGTTATGTATTTTGTTAAATAAATAAATAAAAAGTATATTTTTTGTTTGACAGGAGACATGTTTGCACAATGTCTGGTTATCATGATCGGACAATTTTCTCTGTACATTGGTCAAAGGAAGGGATAATAGCTACTGGAGCTGCTGATGATGCCATACGCTTATTTGCAGAGTCTCAAGATCATTCAGTAGGTTACCTGTGTTACTGTGTACTTCTGGTTACATAATGGGATTGATATTTGGTTGTTTAGGTGGATGGAGCTTTGTATAAGTTGCTTCTCAAGAAGGAAAAGGCTCATGATATGGACATAAATTCGGTGCAATGGAGCTCTACTGTAAGTCAAGAAATAGCAACCTACTTTTGTTTATTTGTTTATTATATTTATAGCAACGTACTTTCATTTCTTTGTATTATATTAATAGTTTTATTGTATTTTGCAGGGGAATAGGCTTCTTGCTTCAGCAAGTGATGATGGGACTATCAAGATCTGGAAGTTGGAATCAATTTGACTTTTGAATACTGTAACATGCTTGTCAAGGAAAGTATTTTTCTTAAATTACAGATTTGCCCAACACTCTTGTCAGCAACTAGACTCCTTAAAATTTTCATCTCTAGTGCCTTGATTAACCCCACAACCAGATTTTGAGGGTGTTTTTTGGTATATGCCAATAAATAGATGTATTTGAGATTTGAATTTGTTGATTACATGATCTAAGAACTGAATATCTTGAATCTGAGTTTTACATTTTGAGAATTTGTGTAAAGCTTCTTATATTTTATTAGTAGTTTTAAGTTGTCATCTTTTCTTGACTTTGGAGTAGATTAGAATATTTTCTATTTAAGTAAATAGGGTTAAAAACTTTGTTCAAACATAACATTACATCATAATTAACATCGTTAAGATTATTAAATCACAAATCTAAAAGTTCAACTTCTAGTTTTCATGTTTGATTTCCAAATCTTCAAAATTGACATCTAGGAGTTGCTTTCATTAATTAATCGCAAATCTAAGTCATAACTGTAATTCAACTTAGTCAAGATGTTTTAAATCAATAATTAACTAATTCAATGAATATTCAATCGTTTTATGTTGCAAAAATCCACTTCAAACCTGATAAATATTTATTTACTTTGACTGAAGAAACTAACATTTGAACTTAACATATTCTAATATAATTATAAACAATGATTTTGAGCTAGACCAATAACATAAATTGTTTCATCTAATGGATTAAATCAAACTTACACCAAATCTTGGGTTACAAACTCCATTAAAACCTCATAAACTCAAGTTCAAATGGGTGTTCATCGATAGATTAGTAATAGAATCATGGAATTCT